TCTATTACTAATCCGTTACAAATAAGTGAAAGATATTTGATTGACAGGTACTGGGGTATATTGATCGGAAAAAACGAAATCTAATGTTAAATACGACATTATTATCGCCAATTATTACTGTGTACACAAACGCGTGGTAATTTAAGATAATGGGTATGATGTAACGAGGGTATTAATACCTTGTTTCAGCAGATTACTCGTCACAAGGCTCCATCATTACGTCTAATGCAAATCTCTAATCAATATAGGTCTAGTTACAGTGTGGATCCAAAAAGCGAGGATGGTGATTGGGGAGCGCTTTCCCCGCAGGCTTGGATTTAAAAAAAGGCAAAGATCATAGTTCTAGAGGTCTGGATGGATTTGCAATCCAGCAGAAGATAAGTCCAAAGTTCACACTCTATATATTTCACTATAGTCTCTCAATATACACCCGGGGATCACGTGGCTAAGTGGGTAAGACGCTGGCTGGCTAGCCTGGAGGTCGGGTGTTCGATCCAGATTTTCCGGCGTGATTTCCCCATGTCAGTGATGTAGGACAGCTGTCTAGTCGTTCGGATGGGACGAAAACCGAGACCCCGGGTACTTATTGGTGTGCACGTAAAAGATCCCTTGACAGTTGGAATTCGATATAAGAGTAGGCTGGGCAAAATGTCCCTCATAGCACACTGTATGACGTATGCCCGTCTTCATTAGCCCAGTTTAGGATCAGAACAGTAGGACGTTAAACCCCATTTCATTTCATTTCAATATACACCGAGGGAAAATCAACTGCCGCACACGTAGCGTACAAAGGTCAAATGAGGTGTGGTATCAGGTATTCTAAAAAGAGTTAGTATATCCTGCCTCGTACACGACATCCGTTACCAACTAAATGGGTTTTTCAAGTTTTACATAAATATCGGCCGAAGTCTCGCTAAAAATTGGGATGTGTCTTCACTACACACATCGCATTGGGGAATATTAATTGTACAATTGTTATCAATGTTTAGTTTGGGTCTAAATTCTTTAATGTCACGGCTACGAACGTTTATAAGACAACGACATAATGGACAGGGGAACTACTGTGTAAAAGTCGTTTTAACAATGTCCGCACACCTTCTTATATGTACATTCAGTGCATGTTGAATAGCTGTTTGTTCAACTGGTCGGGTACCATACGAGTTAAAAAATTGAACAGAACTTTGAAATTATATAGGTGACATGAAAATCAAAACGACTGGATTTTGCCCAAAAGTCTAAATCTTTCTCCAATGCAAGCCCCCTATATCTAGTATTCACACTAGCTGGGGGCTCGCGAATCTATCTGCTACAACCCATGGACTTTACATTGATCGTGATAATCGGTAAATCCACTAATTGATAACACCTTTGTTGAATTTGGAGGGGAAATATATCAGCAAGTGGTTGGCATCCCCATGGGCACCAACTGTGCACCTTTGCTTGCTGATCTGTTTCTCTATTTGTACGAAGCCGATTACATACAGACGCTCGTAAAAACTAATAAACGATCAGTCAGACTTTTTAATTTCACTTATCGATATATCGATGACGTTTTATCACTTAATTATCCTAAATTTAGTGATTATGTAGAATTCATATATCCTGATGAGCTCGAAATTAAAAACACCACTGACAGTGTCAATTACGCTTCCTACTTGGATCTGCGTCTCGATTTTGACAATTGCCATAAACTGAGTGTTAAATTGTACGATAAACGTGATGACTTTGACTTTCCGATTGTTAACTTTCCATTTATTAGTAGTAACATTCCAATATCACCAGCTTTTGTGTCTCAGCTAATTCGTTACGTGAGAGCATGTTCCTTTTATTCTGATTTTTTTAAGTAGATCGAGGCATTTGTCATCTAAGCTTCAACTACAAGGATACGTGCGCACTAAACTTATTAAAACCTTTAAAAAGTTTTATGGCCGTCATATTGATTTGATTGGTAAATATAACGTGTCTCTCTCGGCTATTATTCTAGATATATTTAATTGACACGTATACTATTACTATCTCCCTGATAATGTCTACTACATCGTTAACACAGTTCATCGCGTGCATTTTGCATACCAATAGTTCATTTGCCAATCACGCTATTTTACCGACATTTCGCCTAATAGTTTGGATGCAGCTATGGCGGGTGTGGCGCCAGGCAGGGTAAGCTTACTCTTCCGGACACCTGTTACCACTGTTTGTCGTGTATTTTGTACACGAGGAGCAGTCCATTTGCTGATTACACTATTTTGCTTGAATACACTATTGTGCCTATAACGTTTTTTAGGACTTTGAATTCTGTCTTATGGTTTGGATTCTTCGCAGTTGGTTTTATTTTATTTATACTATATTATTGTAGGCACACCCATGACATGGTAACGGCTATAATGCAGCAGTGGAAGTTTTGAATCTTTGTAAAAGAAGTGGCTTTCTACCTTGCTTTCTCTGAATTTCCAGTTCAAAGTAATAATAAAAATACTTTTGTTTACGGTTACCCGACTGTACCTAATTTTTTTTAAGCCGAAATCGCCGACCCATAACCTTTCTCAAGTCATCCATATAACCATAACTGACCATGTTTTTGGATGAAATTCAAATCAAACAAGCAGGCCAATTTTTATGTCGATCGGACTTGAATTGACTGAGCCTTAGGCCTTTTCGAAGAGCGTCAGCCCAAGAACAAGAAGGACAAGATGAGTAGCGGTTAGCGACCAGTTCCTGGTCCTAAAAGATTTTCACGAGTATGATGTTTCTGGATCCAAAGTACCATACATGTATATCACCTGATAGCTACTAGAATAAAACTTCTATCACTCTGCAAGGGCGGCGAAGGCGTCACAAACTAATCTTAATGTACAAAGTTATTAATCAGCTAACCCCTCCATACCTCCACAATTTAATTCAGTTTTCCAAAACTCCTTATAACCTTCGTAATAGCAATAATTTAACTGATTACTTTTGTCGAACAACTTTATTTTCTAAATCCTTTATACCTTCTACCATAAAAGGATGGAATAACCTTGATCTAAGTATTAAAAATTCGACCTCTATAAGTAAATTTAAAACTAAAATAACTGATAAAGATAAAAAAAATATACCACCTTATTTCAACTTTGGCATACCCGGTACGTAAAAATCAAATATTATATAGTCGTTTTTGTCTTTCTTACAGTGACCTAAATGGATATAAGTTTTTAAGGCATATTTCGGACAGCCCCGAGCGTGATTGCGGTCATTCCTTCGAAGATACCGATCATTTTCTTTTACATTGCTCCTTACATTCTGATGCACGCAAAATATCTATAAATCTTTTACCACCTAATTTTATCAATAGAGAGAGAGAGAGAGAGAGAGAGAGAGAGATGGGGTTTAACGTCCACTCGACACAAACTTGGTCATTTCGGGACTAACATATGGTTTAATTTTATAAAGATAAAAAAAATATACCACCTTATTTCAACTTTGGCATACCCGGTACGTAAAAATCAAATATTATATAGTCGTTTTTGTCTTTCTTACAGTGACCTAAATGGATATAAGTTTTTAAGGCATATTTCGGACAGCCCCGAGCGTGATTGCGGTCATTCCTTCGAAGATACCGATCATTTTCTTTTACATTGCTCCTTACATTCTGATGCACGCAAAATATCTATAAATCTTTTACCACCTAATTTTATCAATAGAGAGAGAGAGAGAGAGAGAGAGAGATGGGGTTTAACGTCCACTCGACACAAACTAGGTCATTTCGGGACTAACATATGGTTTAATTTTATTTACACAATTCGCTTGCGCGTAGGGGTCTTTAGCAGTGGGAGAAAACCGGAGGACCCGGAGAAAACCCACGAGGTTGGACAGGCGACCCTACTCCTTGCCACGTACAACCGGGGATTCGAAACCACGTCAGTCGACTCAATGACAGACTTTATGATACAGCGCGCGCACGCTAACCATTCAGCCATCCAACCCCCCTTTATCAATAGACATAATCTGTTATCAAAACTCGTATCAGGTTAGTATTTTGATTGGCTGTTGTACACGACATAAAAATTAGCCTCGCCTTCATGGCGCAAAGATGTTAAATTCGAAATGCCGGTTAAAAGCCAGCCATGCAGCTATTATCGCTTCAATTTAAAAGAGACGGTTTGTACCTGTGTCAGGTAAGATTATATGCTTAATTATGGTTGAATGTGGCAGAAATGTTATAAATAACAATAGTAAATAAGTTTGCGCATATGTGAGACCAAAGGGCATTCGGCTAAGTTTCACTCCCTTGTTCACGTGCACTTTACCACGTGGTTTGTCCTCTCCACCTGAGAAGACATTACCACTCTAATAATGAATGAGAACAGGACAGCTTCAATCGGATTATATAAGGCCAAACTTTAATAATGAGAATTATTTAGTTACCTGGGGCCTGATTCACGAAATTTTAACTTAAGATAAAATCCAAATTTTAGTAGATACCTCAATTTTGATTGGCTAAGCACTAAAATCAATCTAATATTATCCAATCAAATTACTAAAATTTGGATTTTATCTCGGTTAAGTTTTCGTGAATAAGAGCCCAGGAAACACTATCTATATAACAAGTGGAGTGATAAAACAGTAAAAGCCATCATTCTGTAGAATATAGTTCCAAGGCATGGCCAAATATCAAAAGTTCGAGCAAGATTTATATGAGCATTATGACTGCATGAATGTAAGCTTGATCATAAGAAAATGAAATGAAAGTATAACCTGCTTGTCAGCATCAACTGGGATAATAAAATGGACATATACCTTGCAGTGGGCAATAACGCAATTACGTCCTCAAATTCTTACTGCCAAAGGTTCTTTTAAGTGATTCTTTCCAATCCAAAGAACTAGACGCCCTTCACTGCCAGAGGGAACTCTGCAACAAAATGGATTTAACCGAAAAAGCAGAAAAAGCAGGTTATGGAGAACGTTGGCTCCCATTTTATAAAGTTAGGACCAAAAGGAACAGAAAATATGAAAGGCAATAATTATGTTGGTTATTTTTTTTATTGAAAACCATTGGCTAACATTTACAGAGAACAACCAGCTAGCTACACCTTTACTCACCATTTTCTCCAAATAAGAAATGCATTTGTAAGCTTACATGTTTTCGTGTGCATGTTTATATGTGTGTGCATGGTTCCAATTAACCCGTGCCATGACTAAAAAAACATGCATTTTAAATTTCGATCAATGGTAACAACAAATTTAACCATCATATAAAAACTTTAAGCAAATAAAGTCCTTCAATCTGTTTAGATTTAATTTCATTTGTTAGGAAAACTATAGAAAACAATAATTATATGATCTCCATACAAAAGCCACTACTACCGGTACCCATTCCAATAGCCTAAATAAGAAAAGATATTTGGATAAGAAAAACTTAGTGCATAACATCTGCCGATTCATTCCCCCATATCCCACCCTTGTTACTGGCACTCTCAACAAAGCACCATATTCAATTTGTTACATACAACTTTGATAAGGGTAATTCAATCAAATGTCAAAACTTCTATAATTTTATGCAAATGAGGCTCAAAACACATTTAGCAAAAATCTGCATGTTTAAGGCAGCTCCAATTGTGGGAGAAGGAAAGGTAGGGAAATAATAGCAAATGGGACTAGTTTGAATCAGTCAGTACAATCTGAGCTTGCAATGACCCCATAACAATCATGGTTATCAGAGCTATTACAGTGTTACATGCGTGTGTTGAATTGCCCTTACTGGTTGTGCCACCTATAAAAATGTCAGCGATTTGAAGCTTACAAATGCATTTGGAACTAGTATACAGTAATATTTACAATTTACAATAAATCATCACATACTCTTATATACATAAACACAATCATGCACGACATACAGCGTTTTAGTAACAAAATTTTGAATCGCAATTTTAAGAATCACTTGACAAAATTGGCTGATCAAAATCCCTATAGCAATGTGATGAGTTATGAACCATTTAAGGAAATGACAATGAGTAAGATGAAAAATTTCTGTTAAGTTGTGAAAGTGACCAATGACCTCAAATGCTGTTAGTGATAGATCATCAGTCTGAAGCCATGTAAAGATCAGAGGCTGTTTGTTAAAAAGTTACACCAAAGGGTCTCACAAAACAGAACCTTTAAAAGCAAACTTTTTTTTTATAAAATAAAAAATTTGAATTTTTTTTTTTAAAGCCCCTGCTGACTCTGGGGCCCAAAGTTGTAGCTTGGTTAGCTTATGCCTAAATCCAAATGGATAATTCCTGTTTCTACCACATGGATTACAAATCATAATTTGACTTGTGTTCAGCAACTTCAAATGAGACAATCTGAATTCGTCAAAAACTGTATTTATAATCAAGATCGACCAATTTTGCAATCATCAACCAAAAGTGAATCTGCCATTTGTAAAACCAGCTGTTGAAGACATTGAATGATGAATCATACATAAATATATTACACTTTCTGACTAAGCCTTTTTCCATGTACATGTTTCTGCCAGAGTTTCTGTGTGCAATTTGCACTACACTGACTTTCGCCGGCAGAAACAGGTACATGGAAAGCGAAAGTAGGCGTACTGTCTAAAGTATACATCTTCATATAACATTTCAATCAATCTTATCAAAGCTATACAATAAATTTAATCCTTTGGTATACATTTATTTCAGATTTAGGGACAATTTCAAAATTTCTACGCTTGTATCAAAAAAAATAACCCAGCTGTACTGAAAGAGTAAGAAAATGTTTACACATATGGATTTTGATAAAAATTCATGAAAACATAAATTTAATCTATTATTTTCTATCTGTGGTGTCGTTAAAACAAAACAACCAGTTCCTTGGGTTATTCATTTGGACGCAAGGGGTAAAATTTTGTTACAGTCCCTTAGATATACATAATTCTTTTTTTTGATGTTTTATTTTTAGAAACACAATAATCATAACTTAAACTCTGATATACCACAAAGTGGTATAGAGTCATTTGTAGTAAAACTTTTTAAAATGTTCATAAAATATCTTACTGCTACCTTAAATAATTGTATTCTAATTAATCTGTATTTAAAATTTTATTTGCCAATGATAAAAATGAAATAAAGGATTATTTATATAAATCTGGGATGGGTTTGTTTTTTTTTGTTGTTTTTCTATGTCCAATTAACACAACAAGCACTTCATAATAAGTTTCTGAAATGGAATAAGGTATAATATCTGGTCAAGTGAATATTTTACCCCCCTCCCCCAAAACAAAAATCACATATTTTTGTCTCAAATTGATAAAAGTATTGTTTAACCACAGTGGCTCAGTGAGTAAGGTGCTGCCTGTTTAACCAGGAGGTTTGGGTGATTTAATCCAGGTGTTGGCAGAGAAAGTTATCCAGCATTTTCTAGAGTAGTTTCCCCTTGTCAGTTGTGCAGGACGGAGGGGCCTGGCTGCAAGGACCAGCATCTAGTCTTTGAATGGGACGAAAAAACAAAATCTAGTGTAGACATTGGCGTGATTGTAAAAGAAACCTTGAGAGTTGGAATTCACAATAAGAGTAGGATGTAGTACCATTGTCCGTGCAAAATTCCCTCATAGTGCACTGTATGGTGTGCATCCGTCTTCATAAGGCGAATCGGAGTAGAAAAATAGGACGATAAACCCCATTTAGTCCAAGGTATTGCGATGACCAGACATTAAGCCCTATTCCATTCTTATTTATTAAATGGCTATAATGAATTGATTCTGATAGAAATGAACATAGGCGTATGGGGAAATTTTTGTCTGGGGGGGCGGTGGTGGTTGGTGCCCAAAAAATGTAGTTAGGTTCTTAGTATGTTACATAATAATAATAAATTCGCTGTTAAATTGGACACATTCAAGAACACAATATTTTTTTATACAACTTTTACAAAGTACAATTGTGTGCCCAAATTTTTCCCAGCATTTGGTGCCCAAAATGGGGGGGGGGGGCAGCTGCCCCCCCAGCTCGTACGCCTATGGAAATGAATAAAACAGGATCAGATTTACAAAATAAAAGAGTTAAATTATTAAACTATCGTTTGTATAATATACGTTTTAAATATATTTTGTATCTGTATCTTGTTGAAGAGTATGTCACTAAATAAACTTACATATTACTTGCTATTGACGATTTCTCTGGTAACAAAAACCAAGAAAAATCTGTTCCGCAGGAAGTAATACTGTTGATTTACCCGATAATGTCACCTTATGGTCTCATCAAATTTGATTTCTGGACAGAACTCCATTTCATGTCATTCGACTGGAATTCCATAAATTCAGAACGTTTTGGTTTGACAATGGGACACCCCCAAAAGACCACTGTAAGGGTCAAGGGTCAATCAGCAACAAAAACATTCGTTAAGAGAATTTTTTATTTTTTTTATTTTTAAAGTCTAAAAAACTTACTTTTTTTCTTTTATTTTTAAGTTATTTCAGTGACATACTTATCTTCAAGTGTGTCTTTGTCAAACGTATCTATCGTTTATTTCCGTATACTCATATAAAACACTTCATTCTTATAATATACAATATAACATGCATATCCCATACCTTAACATACAATCAATCGTTCACACCCCGGGCGCTTAAAATGAAATATTTTATAATCTTGATGAAAAATTGATGAAGTATAAACACAAATAAATATGAAACCAAAGAATAGGATGATTTATATATATATATATATATATATATATATTAGAGATGAAAAGAGAGAAAGGTGGGTTAGTTGCTATAGAAATCTACTTGACTACTTCATCTAAGGTAAATTTTACAAAAAAACTTGCTTGAATTAAGAAGTTTTATTTGCAAACATTGTATCAGCCATGGATCATCACAAATAAACGTATTTTTCATTTCATTAATAGACATTTTACAATTTTAGATGTAAATTTTAAAAACTAAACACAATTGGAACCGAAAGCACATAATTACTTCTTGCTAGAGTCGCACTTTGAAAATCTGGGCCTTATTCACGAAAACTTAAACTAAGTTACAACCGAAATATTAAGAAATACTGCAACTTCATTGGATATATGCAAATTGATTTTACTGGTCAGCCAATCGAATTGCAGTATTTCTTAAAATTTCGATTGTATCTTAGTTAAAGTTTTCGTGAATAAGGGCCCAGAATTTCTCAAATTCAATTCTTCACGATTACAAATATGAAAATTTTGGAATTAATGTCGCCAATTCAGACTGCACATTTTTTTTGACAATTTGACAGAAAGTTAACCAGTACATGAAACAGAAGCTTATCTCCAAGAGTATGTCGGGTATTTCTGTAAAAATTCATCTTTAAATGATGCCAAACACTGAGAAATTTTCAATGCATCATATCATTGTAAATACTGAACAAGACTGAACCATTTTTAGACTGACATTCCTAATTAGAGATTCAACTTGTACATTTATTGTATTTCGGAAAATATTCAAAATTTCTCAACTGACGATCACAAGATTCAAAATATCTGAAATTCTGTAATAATCGAGAATAGATTTCTTAATGTTCAAAACTGTATTTTTAATAGATCTACAAGTACGACTGTAGCTGAAAGAGCAATACAAGGTCCTTACAATTGGTCAACTCTGATGGCCGTAATTTACTGATTGTTATACAACAAATCTTCATATTTTATTATCTTTACAAAGAAAATTCTGGCAAGTTTTGACCCCTTGCTTATCTTTGCAATCATCGTTGAATAGCCATGACTAGACACAAATACATTTACCCACTAAAAGATAACGGGCCAGTAATGTACCAACACAAAATTTGGAAAGCTGGCCAATACAAACTTCAGAGTTTTTGACTATAAGTAAATGTTGGCCATATTTGTGTGAAAACATCAATCACCACGATTTATTTGCATGGAATATTCACAAAAATTGTTCTAGTTCCATTACCTATTTATTGCCGATACAACAAGTTGTACCATTAAATCTAAAACGCAATTTAATGTTTTTACATCATGGATGTTCCCCGATGATTTTATAATTATCATAAATGTTTTATATAGCACTAGACAAGGGGGACTGTACAGGATGTATACAAGTGGTATTTATATAAATATATATGTATTGTATATATACATATATACATTCAAATACAGGTACATTTAGCATTATTTATCACAGTCAGCCTAGAAAACAAACATATAAAGATGTTGATAGGCCGGATTCGAGATGACTTATTTAACATGCTGGGCTGTTATTCATAAGACCCTTGTAAACAAAATATTTTAAGGATCAGGTCATCTGATTGGCTGAGTGCTAATATTTTTATTAGGATTTGAAAATTCAGCCAATGAACGAGGTACATCCTTAAAATGTTTTAGTTTATTTTCCTGCTCAATAAATTTTGGTCTCTATTCTGAAAATTAGATAAAAGTCAGTGGCCTGGTTGATTTCAAGTATTTCTGGGCCTGGTTTAATTCAAGTACTTCTGGGCCCGGTTTATTTCAAGTATTTCTGGGTCTGGTTTAATTCAAGTATTTCTGAGTCTGGTTTATTTCAAGTATTTCTGAGTCTGGTTTACTTCAAGTATTTCTGGGCCCGGTTTATTTCAAGTTTTTCTGGGTCTGGTTTATTTCAAGTATTTCCGGGCCTGGTTTATTTCAAGTATTTCCGGGCCTGGTTTATTTCAAGTATTTCCGAGTCTGGTTTATTTCCAGTATTTCCGAGTCTGGTTTATTTCAAGTATTTCCGAGTCTGGTTTATTTCAAGTATTTCCGAGTCTGGTTTATTTCAAGTATTTCCGAGTCTGGTTTATTTCAAGTATTTCTGAGTCTGGTTTATTTCAAGTATTTCCGAGTCTGGTTTATTTCAAGTATTTCTGAGTCTGGTTTATTTCAAGTATTTCCGAGTCTGGTTTATTTCAAGTATTTCTGAGCCTGGTTTATTTCAAGTATTTCTGAGTCTGGTTTATTTCAAGTATTTCTGGGTCTGGTTTATTTCAAGTATGTTTCAAAATTCAGAGAGAAATACTTATTGAACAGGGTAGGTCTATAACATGATTTCACAAGAAATAAATAAACTTTGAAATGAACCTTAGACTTAAGCAGATCCAAGATCGCAGGGTTAAATTAATATGCCATACAATTGAAGTCTTTCGGCTTTTCTTAAAAAATTAAATCCCAATTCAAGAGCTACTAGAAACCTCTTCTTGTCTTCTCTCCCATTATGATCAAAAGTCATCATCAAATCAGCCTTGGATGTCGTTCAATGAACTATTTAATGAGATGAAATCAAATCCTACAGATTCATCTATAAAATGTTACAGAGATTAAAATCATTTGTGCTTGATAATGATTGATTAGAGAGAATACTTGTTGAAACGTTCTGCTATTTGTGTACAAACCAGTGATTGTTTTTGTTGTGTTTTTAAATCTTCCAGTTAAACATACATTATGCAAGAGCTAAATCTGCCTATTGCAGGTCTTTCTTAAAGGCTCATTACCACTCTTGTTGTAACTGAATATGTCCCAATCTTTATTCTGGTCAACAAATTGTACTATTTTAGAATATTTCAATTAATTGATACCGGTAATACAAATTTCATCTTAACACACCTTATTTAAAAATTTTGAAAAATTCAACATAATGGTTTGAAACGTCTAACGTAAACCTTTTCAAATGAAACTTTGATTTAAAAATATTCTCGACCCGCTGGACAAGTAAAATAGGATGTAATGGATAATTTACACAACAGGTAGGACACTTAAACATCTAGTACTTAGATAGAGATATTATTTATTTTCTGGAGCTTTCAAGCCAGCAAGAGTGTTATTGTCCCTTTAAGGTCTGAATGTTATCTAAATTATTAATTAGACACTTATTAACATGACAACATCATAATCAATTCTCGATGCCATCGGATAGCTCCGATATTAAGTAGATTAAAACGGTTCAGCCATATTTTGATTTAATTTAAAAATGGAGGAGCGAAACTTAGCTTTTTTGAACAACCAGTACGGTGGTTGCAATTAATAAACACGTCTTGTCAAACCTTCAAAGGCTAATATCTTCACTCGCAATAGAGTAAGTTGAATGAAATTTTCAAATTATTCATTTTACATTATCTATTTTCAAACTATTATAGCAAGAATGGTTAGCTCTTTACCTAAATCTCTCATAATGTAGCTTTAAGCATTTTTCATACAAGAAAAAAATGTGTTTATTTTAATCGAAACACAATTCAGTTTTTGACAAAGAAATCTCATTTTTAATATTGTTTCATGAGCAACAAGCAAAATTATTCTCAAAAGATTTATCAAGCACAAACTGGAAGATTAATCTTTGTTCCGAGTCATAAATAATACCTCCAAAGATATATAATGATATGAATATTGTTAAAACGAGTTAAAGCAACCAATTAAATGAGATAATGAATAAAAAATAAATAAATAAATAAATAATTTGAAATTTAAAATATCGCAAAGACTCCAGTCTCATTGTGATCTTTGGTATTTTGGGTTTCAAATTTTTTGTTTATTTAAAATGAAGCATGATTTTTGAGCATGGAGAGCTCGGACTAAAAAAAAAGAAAGATGAAGAGAAAAGATAGAAGTTAAGTAAGAATGATAAATAAGAAAATAAAAGTGTAATTTGTGTATTTATCCTGTCAAGATGACAATATAGACGAAGGGGGCTTCAGGTTCTCAATCTCTGCTATCTGTTTATCCAGAAACAGAATCCTGAAGAAAAAAAAAAGAAAAAATTTTTTTTAGCATGTAAAATAAACATGCAACCAGGGAGATTATTTATGAAAATTTAAACTACAACATTTTAACCCTCTTAGAATCAAAGGTATTTTTACCATGCCTAAAATTATTTCCTAAAGTTAGGGGTTGTCATATTGGAAAGCCTCACATGCTCTTGATAGTTCATCAAACTAACTCGTAGATGGTAAAATAGTTGAATTCATATCATTTACCATGTCCCCACCCCGCTAAAATTCATGTGGCGTATATGTCACATGGTGCCTAAGAGGGTTAAGGGTTCAGTTTTTGCACTTGTACATAATTACCTCACACAGGAAGAGGCCTTATGTACAAAATGTAAAACTAAAATATTATAAGGCCAGGGTTAAAAATATTTCAGTTTGCCCAAACCCGACTCATGATGATTAGGTATGGGTAGGTAGGTAGTCAAATTCTTTTTTTTGGGGAGAGGACCAGACTTTGAGAACTAAATGCAAAAACAAAACAATATTTAAACTCTAACTTTATTAACGAGAACAGTAGGCCTATAACACAACACATTGTCTGTTGTCTTCGTGTTTATCTCTATTTATCAACAGTGACATCATCAAAGACGTCCCTCCATAGTTTATTGTTCTATCCAGTTACTAATTAAATACCATTAAAAGATTAACATGTAAGGACGAAGCCTTTTCTTTGGTTATGGGTTAAAATTGTAGAATAAATGTTAGCTCTTAAAAAATATTAGTTTAATTTTCATGAGAAATAAATTTGATTTTCTTCTAGACACCCTTGTTTACCAACTGTATATTAGGTAATTCTGGGGATTTTTCTCTCTATATATTTACTGCTGAATTACCAGGCCAAAGAAATGTTGATAGAAAACTGAGTATTGAAATCAATAATTGAGGAAATCGATTGTTGCAGAAATGAAAGCGGTTTCATGTCTTACTATTCCGTACTAGCCAGGCTAATGAAGATGGGTATATGCAATGTGGTCTGCTCTGACAACATTTTGCCCGGGCAGTGGCGATACAGCCAACTCTTTATTTCTATTTCCAGCTGTCAGTTGTTTTCTTTTTTTTTTTAACATACTGCCAATGCTATGCACGTGACCTCAGTTTAATGTTTTCAAGAAACTTGAATGATTCACCGGTTTACATCTCCAAGAATCTCTGCATAGCTAATATTGACGTAAAAAATATATAAATAAAATATAAACCTTTGTTCATGTAATGTTGATTCTATTTCTGCGACACGTACCAACGATCGAGCTTTCGTTAGTTCTACAGACACTTGACTACAATGAAGGCTACCAACGGTTAATGCTTCTTCCCAGTATCTTTTGGCCTAAAAAAACCAACAAATATCAAATCATATAAAAAATATCATTTAGACAACACCAATTTGATTTTCCGTTCCTTGGGATCTTGATAAATAGCCACATGAATCACATGAACAGCACAAACAAGGTCCTCTTGGGACTAACATATGGTTCAATTTTATTTCAATAATTTGCTTAAATAAATTGGTTTTGCGTAGGGGTCTTTAGCAGTGGGAGGAAAGCAGAGAACCTGGAGAAAACCCATGAGGTTGGAAGCGTGACCCTACTCCTGGTCATTTACAAGATGGGAATTAAAACCACGCCTTAGACCATTCAGTCACTAGGGGCGTGGTGACCCATGTTTTTGCATGAGGATCAAGATCCTGTTTCAGCCCCCAAAAATAATAAATAACGTGTGTGCAGGGGGTGGGGGAAGCAGTCCCTCCCAGTGCTGCCGGGTAACATTGGGCTGTGTGGAACATGCTAGAGTCAATCTGAAGAATATTTGACCCGGCCACGGTATATGTTTGACACTGGTTAATAAGCATTATGATTATGAATATATGTTGAAAAAAGCATGTTTTTTTTGCCATTTGTGTGGGGGGGACAACTCAAAACCATGATACAAATACAAAGCTTGTCATTGCGTCTCTCAGTTACCCCAATGTCAGTCACCCAACCCTCTTAGGCTTGAGAGAAAAAAATCTCTCCTTGATTTTATGAGTTACAAGGCATTAATGGACACTGAACCAACCCAAAAACATAAACTTTATCAGTGTCATGACCTACCTCTCGTTCTGCTAGATCTGCCTGCCAGCCCATCACATGACCTATAAGTTTTTCATTATAATAATTACTAAACGTGGATTCTAACTCGGCAGATTGGTCCTTCTTACTGAAACCAGCTCCTGACAATGCACTCGTACTAATAGGTGCATTCTGGGAACTTGTAGTACTGAGTGCAGGACTGTGACTGAAAATTACAAATAGAATCAGGTTAAGGCTTGGCTTATGGTTCATTAAAGTTAACATGGTACATTGAATTTATTTCTATTGATTGGACGAACTTTTATATCACAAGCCGGCAATGTTATAAACTTTCATTTTGACGCGAAGGATATTTCAGGGTATCTTTAAGACTGTACAGTGGGGGATTATTTTCAGCATAAATACTGTCAAACAAGTACGAGGGACCTAGAGCCGAGTATGACATAATCTTCCCTATATGAGATAAATTTTCCCCGGACAGCAGTGCTACGGCGCAGTCTTTTTAATAAATGAAATGAAATGGGGTTTAACGTCCTACTGTTCTGCTCCTAACCTGGGCTAATCAAGACGGGCATACGCCATACAGTGTGCTATGAGGGAAATTTTGCCCGGGCAGCGGCACTATCGCCTACTCTTTTATCGAATTCCAACTGCCAAGGGATCTTTTACGTGCATTCCAATGTATACACGGGACCTCGGTTTTTCGTCTCATCCGAAGGACTAGACAGCTGTCCTTGTCAGGCCCTCCGTCCTGCATCACTGACAAGGGGGAACCACGCCGGAAAATCTGGATGAACTTTCTCGGCCAATGCAGGGATCGAACACCCGACCTCCAGGCTAGCGAGCCAGCGCCTTACCCACTTAGCCACGTGGTCCTCAGTCTTTTTAATAACTGTCAAGGGTTTATTTATGTGAACACCAATGAGTGCACGCGACCTCGGTTTTTCAGACCATTCAAGTGACAAGGGGAAACAACGCCGGAATATTTTGAGGAACTTTCTCTGCCAACACCTGTTAGCGTGCCAGCGTCTTACTCACTGAGCCCCTCCCTCCCCCCAGTCGATATAACTCACAAAAGTATTAATTTACCAGGAGTCTCTGGAGCTCATCTCCGAGAGAGGACTATCACGTCCCCCGCCACCATTATCTAATTCCGTATGGTTTATCTGTGTGACGACAGCTGGCGTATTACTGGTTAATTTGGGTAATTGCGTGTGGTAAGTGGGAACTTCAATGCCAAGTGGGATTGCTGGACTTCTCAACGGTTCTTCAGTAGGGGGTTCATGAGAATTTTGTGTCACTGAAAAAATAATTGATGTAAAAATATTATAGAATTTGTTTTTAAAACATAGAATTATTATTTTATCTTAAGACTGGAATAAAATACATTTTATGTCAGGGTATTTTTAACATACTACCAATGAATACAGGAGACCTCACTCTTTAGTACAAGTACCATCCAGATGACTAGACCAGAGAGAGAGTGTGTTTAACATCCACATGACACAAACTAGGTCTTTTCAGGACTAATATATGGTTCAATTTTATTTCAATAATTTTCTTGCAGATACAGATCATTAGATGTGGGAGGAAACTTGAGGACCTGGAGAAAACCAACAAGATTTGACAGGTGATCCTACTCCTTGTCACGCACAAGCTGGGAAACCAAAAACCACTCCACTTGACTCGGAAACATTCAGCTACCCCCCCTTCCACTATCTCGTCCAACACCCAGATGGAACCAGGGATCAGCTGGTTAGTGAGTCAGCACCCTACTCTCCCAGAGCCACAGTAGCTACTAACAAACAATATAATAATATTCAACTTACAATTTTGTGCCCGTTCTATCTGCATATTTAATGCAGCTTGTAATTTTTGAAGTGTTTGTAAAGCTGTAAAAAAAAAAAAAAAAAAAACACAATTAGACAGTTATCATCAGTTATAGAACTCTGTATCTACAAACATTATAAGGACCTAAATATGAAGTGAAATTTCTGATAAAAACTGAAAATCATTTTAACGTCGTATTTTTCTGCACGAATTGAGCTAATGAAGAGGGACAAACACCATGCAGTGTGCTTGGACAGCAGTGTTATTACATACGTATGTGAATTCCAACTGTTAAAGGATCTTTTATGTGCATGCCAGATTGCCAACATGTACACGGGACCCCAATTTTTCGTCCCATCCCAACAACTACATGCAGTTCACTGTCAAGCACTCCGTGCTGCACCACTGACAAAAGGAAACAACACCGTAAAATCCTGAGTAACTTTTTCGACCAACGCCAGAATCAAACCTTGGATCTCCTGTTTAACAGTACAGCGCCTTATTCACTGAGCTATCTTGGCTCACTTTAATAATGTAAATGAAATGGGGATTTAACGTCCTACTGTTCTGCTCCGACTGAGCTAATGAAGACGAACATATGCCATTCAGTGTGATATGAGGGAAAATTTTGCCCAGACAGTGGCCTTTAATAATGTGAAAGGAATTATATTAGTAAAAAATCAAGAGCAATAGTTAGTTTTAACTTAAATTAGTTTAATCATAAAACATGCATAATTTCAACACAGGATAGACTTCATGGTTCATGCCCAATGGGATCCCCAAAAAGGCAATTTTTTTTTCTTCTCGAAATGACGAATGCAGGTGATGTTTGAAAGCAGGAACCAAGAGGCGGGCCATATAGAATTTTATATGAAGGACAGTGGACTATCAACATGCATGCAGAGCTTTCATTGATTATATTTCATCTACACAGACAGTCTGTCTAGCTGTTTGTCGGTTCACGTTTTAGGGGCTTTCTGTCATTTTTATACCCAAGGAATCCCTCACATCATCCAGAACGTGGATTATATAACAAATCTTCCAGATTCTAGTTTTGTAAAGATTGAATAAGCAAAGTTTTGTAACATTTCTAAGATATCACAAATATCATTCATATCCACAAACTGCTTTAGTTTACGAACATGTAGAAATATATTTAATATAAAGTTTTAAAAAAAAATGAAAAAAAGATGATATGGGATAGAAGACCAACACCGTCTAAATATACATACATGTACCATAGTTTAACGGTAAATAAACAGATATTAGCATACCGATAGTATGATATATGTGAATTAATTTAAATCGGGGCATTAGTGCATTTTCTCTTATTAAATAAATTACAGTAAAGTATTTTATCACCAAGACATAGGAATTCTTTTTTTTTTAATTAGTTCAGAAATAAAGAATTCAACATTTTTTTTTTGGTTCGTTCTGAATTTTGTGTCCAGAAAGTATCAGAAAAAAGGATTTTTATCTTTTTAAAAAATCTGGTCTACAAAAATTTTGACAATGGGTCTGTTCTGTGCAAGGCGCAATATGTCCACAGGTGGACACAGTTCACCAAGAAAACAAAATCAAAATACCGACACTAGATAATTGCCCGACTTGGATACAATCAGATTAAAACTAGACCCATCAGGTTTCCCTGCTACCAATAAAATCTATGTGGCATCTTAAATCAAGGCACCTGTCACAGACAATGTCAGGAACAGATTCAGGCTTTGTCAGTCACAAAACCTTTGGTGCCTGTCATTTTTTCCGGCACTGATTCGTCTTTTTATTGATATTAATTTTTATTATTAATGCATGTCCGCCACTAAGTTTAAAATGTCCGGTACTATTTCATTAGTGACTGATATTTTGTCAGTACATATATATACATGTACATCTAAAACTGTTATTTCCAGGACTGATCTTGACACAGTGAGCAGCAAAAATGTAGATCGATGAAATTTTAATTTTTGGACTTATACATGTAGGTTATATATTCCTTAGAGATTAAACTTTGCAACGGATTCTTATAGCACTAAATCACACATCAAACCATTTAACAAGCAGTAATGAAATTTGGTTGCAAATTTGAAAATTTATGAATTATTTGTGTCGACTAAGTTTCTTCCAGGAATATGCTTTGGAAAAACTTATTGCATATGATGAATATGATATTCTCAAGAATTTCTTGTGCTAAATAACGTAAAAGAAAGAAAGAATACCGGCTAACCCTGAATATATAAAGTGAAAGCCCCGAACGTAACATGATATGTTACCCACCTTTTTGTTTGATATCTTCCGGGTCAATATTATTACTGGTGGTATGGGCATGAGGTATTAAATTATTAACATTTACAGGAGAAGTGTTGGACACCAGAATGGGTGTGAGACGGGAAGAGTGTGATCCCCCCGTGGTAGAGTGTGGGGGATAATTAGAAGTACTTGTATGTCGTGAAGCAGTTGGAGTACTACCTGGAGAGATTTCCATCATGTCTTCATGTGAAGAATCTGAAACACAAACAAAACACAGATGAGAAGAATGGAATCAGATTTTAATGTCTCGTCAACACAACACTTCGGTCATTTGGAGACTTAAACTAACTGTACTTGATTTATGTCATACCAACCACATATATGAACTTTGATAGGGATATTGTGGTTATTCCTCAGGCCTATTTTAATCAAGAAAATGTATAAAGTTTAACATCTCGTCAACACAATACAATGGTCATTTTGAGACTAACACATGGTCATTAGTATTCTACGGACATGGGAGAATTTTGTCCAGATTACTCTTCTCTGATTTCTTAATGTTTCATGAACATATCAAATGTTCACTGTTGGACCTCAGTTTTTGTACCATCTGAATGGCTACTGGTACAATTAATCTTTTCCCCCTGAAAACTGATTCTTCTGGTGTGATTGTGTGATGCTAAGTTAAAGTATGTTTAATTCTTTCCCCAATTACCATGAGGCTGTTGTACAAGGGGAGTGTTATCTTGTGATAAAGTAATGCAGCTACAAATTTACATGGATATTTAGATTTTTACTAATTTTTATTTGAATACCACATTGTGTTTTGTATTTTGCAGATATGTCATTGTTCAAAGATACGTGTAATCATTACGTTTATCATGATTTTTTTATATCAATTATAATGTCTAAAACTAAAAAGGTGGGAAATAGCCATATACATGTCTATGACACTAATGATGCCATGGTCTCCTCACGACCCAAAGAATAGCTTTTATTGTACATGTACATTGTTTTATCTCACAGTTCCTTCATTATTTATGGTTTTGGGGGGAAGAGGGGGATATTTGGGTGAAAACAGTCAATCAACCGTATATTTAAGAAGATTGAAAGAAATCTGGTCAAAAGTGAGTACGACAATGAGTGAGTAAAAGAAAATGTGTACAATCTGCGAATGATTATGGCGTATAAAATAACTAGTATTAATCGAGCAGTGTAGACAAATCTGACAAGCTTTTAGTCTCTAATCTTAAAAGAATACCAAGGGAGCTACATATAACTCTGTACACTGTCCCTGATTATACTATGTAAAATCTATCCAGTAGTTTTAAAAATTTATTCTCGGTTGCTTACTCCACTTGATCCTGGTCTACAGATATTTTTTAGCAAGCTCAGCGATACAGTTTGTGATTGGTAGACTGTATGATCACATTAAAATCATACACAATCATTTATAAAATACTACATGTACAAAATCTGTTGGAAAGTCTCTCATTATTGAAACATTTGATTTGCTGTCTAATCGAGGGCAAAGGTACATGTATAATTTACAAGTTATGAGGCAGATTCTGGCATTTGAAACCAAATGATTTACAATCTCAAATGGAAAACCATTGAAAAACCCATTTTTCCAAAAACATACAAACCCAATCTTAGAATAAGACTTATTGCAGAGGTTTTATTTTTGTAAATTACCCCCAAAACATTGGATTTATTTACATTTAATGAATTGAACCTGTCACCTTGGTCTGATCACGGAATTCAAAATTTTTAAAGCAGAATTTCCCATTATGCTGTTGTCACAGGACCAGATTGTGTTTTTCTTAGACATGCCTTTAGTGAAGTGATCATCAAAAAATACATGAACAATAATAAAATTGACTTTTAATGACATTGGTTAAATGGGTGTTTGCAGTCTTGTCCTCAGATTATCAAACAGTATTGCTGCTATGTTAAAGCTCATCAGAGAACTAAAACATGTAGTTGAGACTTCAATACAGGTAACCTTACAACAATGGGTTACGCTAATGAGCTCGAAAACTGGAAATGGTAATCTATAGGTTACGATACCACATGTAAATGTACCATCAATTAGGGCTGGCGGAAATAATCAATAATTGCCGATAATCGTCGGTAAGTGTTTTGAAAATAGATTATTGCGCAATTATAGGTACTTAACTTGCAAGAAGAAGTCCATAAAAATAATCCTTATCACTGTATTCTTTGCAACGCGTGCTTGGGCCTAGAACTGTAATTAAACAGAATAGTCATAATAAAACACACACGTTTGTTGGGGTTTTTTTCACGCGAGACGCAACCGGTGAGAAATGTTGGCCGCTTACGTCATGATGAGAGCCAATGGTTTCACGCAACATCCAGTTGTGTCCCTTATTTTAACTCTTCAGTTCTTTCGTCTTCTCTGTTTCTAAGTCAAACACGTACTTTCCCTTTATAAAATTTATTAATTTATTAAGAAATTTGCGAAGAAATGTCTGAAGAGGAGATTTTTAATTTCCCCAGTGCGAAGAAATCACTGCAAGAAATAAACTGTAACGGCGAACTGAAGAATTCGTTTGATGTGATCAAAGGGAAATAAATGTCTGAAGAGGAGATTTTTAATTTCCCCAGTGCGAAGAAATCACTGCAAGAAATAAACTGTAACGGCGAACTGAAAAATTCGTTTGATGTGATCAAAGGGAAATAACTACATTTTACTCAGTATTATTCAGGTCATAAGTGACAAAGATATGGCGAGCGGTGGCGGGTTCTGTCTTCCAAACGAAGTTGAGTTTCTTTCTACACCTTGGCTTTGCTATGGAATGCTATTATTTTATTGTCAGATGTCAAATTAACGGGAAAAAAAATTCTACATGTATACAATATCTATTGTGTATACAGAATATTTGATTTTTCAAAGGAATCATTGATTTTCTGATGGACATAAATTTTAATAAAGCAGAAATATAAATAAATGCAGGCCACAAAATTTCAAATTTTGGCATAACCAGAAAAATGGTTATGGGTTTATGCTCTGCGTAACCATTTTCCTTGGTTACGCCAGATGACCATTGCGTAACCAATTGGTTTTATCCAGATTTAAATAATGCTATTATTCATTTCCACTTGCAGTGAATGTATTTTTTTAAAAGAAATAACTTGACTAATTTATATTAATTTATATTCTTATATATTTAATATTATATTTTGAGGTTAAGTGTTTATGACTTTAATCCCACGATGTCCCCATTTAAACATTAGAAAAAATTGTTCCACTTCACTAAATCCCTATATTTTAATAATTCTTTTATCAATCGGCTTTTTCAAATATCAAGCGGCTGATGTACGTAAATGGCTATTCAGTTAACTGGTCCCAAATCGGTTGCAGAGGGGAATTGGTTCTAAAAATTACTAATGGATTTTCGTTTTTATATCATATCTGACCTTCAAAAACCAGGAATGGTACATGTAGCTACAGTGTACACATGTACTTTATATTACACGTGTTATTTGTAATCATTCTTCCAAGCACGTAGACGTAGCATGAGATAGCCTCACTCATAGGTAGCGACTGATTGACAAAAAGTATTTATTAACCTCGGCACTCTATACACAAAGTCTCAAAAGGAAACAGAACAGATGCCGGGGTGGGGGGTATGGTGGTTGAAAGTTGACGACATACATGTACATACATACGGGTCATTGGTACTACCGTACAGCATGGCTATAGTGGAAACTGAAATAGACATGTGTAGTAAGTAAATTCTTTGGAAATATAGCTGGCATGTTAAATAGTCAAACTCATTTCTCATTTTGTGTTAGAAAATCCCAAGGTAATCTTTCAAATATTTATGGCATAACTAATTAATTTTAAGAATTATGGTGGAGGGGGGACATTTTTAAATCAACCTGCTTGCAACTTGTCTATAGCCTACGATGTCAAAATACTTGATCTGTCAAAGATCTGTCAAAGTACCGGTAAGATGGAGAAATGAAATGCCAAGAATGAATGAATGGAGTTTGTGCTATAATACAAATAATTTAGACCTGTGTCACAAAGTCATCCTGTATAAAAATTGATCAAATGTGAATAAAGTTGTTAATGAAATTTGTTAACGTAATCGATATTTCAATTTGCGTAACCAAGGAATTCGGTCGCATGTTTTTGAGCTGGAGTGCCTGCACGTAGACGATTGGTGGCCTGAAATGCAACTACATTGTACATGTTTACAGTATATTATTGAGAGTACCCGTAGCCTGATTATCAATGTGTTATGGCAGTCTGTGAACCAAAAAAATCGCTATTTTGGCTTTATTAATTGACATCTTTTGAGACAGCGTGACTGTTTGAAAAATAAAGCCATGATTGTGTACAATGTAACAAGTAAGGATGTAAACGGTCACTTGGTTAATCGGTCACGGTTCGGTTGCACTGTTGAACTGGTTAAAAAAAATTACCAACCGGTATTCCTATTCGTTTTCATATCATACATGTACATGACCCACAAACATGACCCACAACATTTTTTTTCTTTCACTAAGACTCAAGACCACATAAATACTTCAAATACATGTAGCACTTGTCATTTGTAATAACTTGGGAAGTTATAAACGTCTTTAAATTCCCGCCTGTTTTACAGTATTTTTTAACCTCATCATTCCATAAACAAAGTCTCAAAAGGAAACAAATAGACAGGATATAATAGTAAAATTGTTTATATTATCACTCAAGCGGGGAAGGGGGGGATGCTGTGCCGATTGGGTCAGAGTTGACGACATCCGGGTCACTGGTGCCATACAAAACAACATGGCTTGTGATAGAAACACATGTAGTAAATTCTTTGGAAATAGCTGATGTTAAATAATCAAAATTATATTGTAATTTAAAAATCCAAAGGTACATGTATGCTTTAAAATATTTATGTCATAACTAATCTTATAAAGTATTAGGGAAGCTTTTGTTTTTAAAATCAACCTGATTTCAACTGGTCTATAGGTGACAGGGCTAGAAATTCACACGAATCTCCGAATCAGATTCTCGCAAGAGCTTACGCTGCGAATCTGTAAGGATTCGCGTAAAATTTTTCTTAAAAAAAAAAAAAAAATCTCTGAGAATTCTCGAGTCCAACTGTTGAATATCAGTCAGGGTTAATTGTGGGATTTAGCCGATTGATGTTTAATCTAGCCAATTGGTAAAACAATAAATCGGCCACATGGTATCATAAATCAATCTACTTATCTTTTTTTTGTCTAATATTACAACGCATTAATTATTACTTGTTAATAAAGAAGTGTCGGCTACAACAACAGTCATACCTTAGTGCGAATCGGCCATACATGTATGTAATTAGCACATTTAACGGTGATTTTGATAATCCGGTAAAAAAACAAAACAAGCTTGCTGATAATTCATACTAGGTTCAGTAAAATACGCATGTGGTGAATGAAGACGATCTCGGCATGGTTTGCGAATCGCGCATCTTCCACGCTCCGTCCGTGTGAATTCCAGGTATTAAAATAATAACTGGATCATACAATGTACATTGATGGATTCACTGACCAGTTGTTAGTTATATTTAAATTTGCATTGAATATAATCCCCTGATAGAACACCGAATACACAGAGAGAGAAACAGTGGATATTTTCCCCAACAGAATCTCGAATGTCGAATTCCAATGACACGTGACATATTGGTTGGAATTAGGTCAATAAACCAGTTCTAAATAGCGTTTACCGTTATGATTTTTTATTTTATATACAGATGCTGACAGAGACTTAATTTTTAAAATATTATTGAAGGCTACATGTATATCATAGTTGTACCGAAGTTTATTTTGTCACGTGATCATTGTGCAGTTTGTCTATCATCGACGAATGAATAAAAACTTTTGCAAGTTACATGACTAATTGCGTGATGGACAAAAGACTACAAATTGTGCTATGAAGAAATGCCATGGTGCTGTATCAGCTTATTTTGACTATGGCATTTTCTGAATATTACTTTTGACACAATTTAAGTGTTTACCAAAAACTCCATCTGATTGGGGGTTTTATCATTTTTGTTGTATTTTGGTGTTTTAGATTATCACAATAAACACAATTTTGTTTTTTTAGACAGTATTATTAATTAAGATTCGGAGGATTAGCACTGATTCTATATTTGAGAATCCTCTTAGATTCTCGAAAAAATGACGAATTTCTAGCCCTGGGTGACCTGTCAAAAGCAAAAGATGGAGAAATGAAAGAATGAATGAATGGATGGAATTTGTACTGACTGTTACATGTAACTTAAAAGCTGTAATACTAATAATTTAAAAATATACTATCAAGTCTTCCTGTGGTGCAACAAATATTTTAATAGAAATTTTTTATCGGATACATGTAACTAGTTGCGGTTGGGTTTTTAAAGACCAGTTAACCGGTTCAATAATTTTTAACCATTACATCTCTAGAAATAAGTTTATAAAATGTGTGGAATGACATGTTTTATATTAATTGTAGTAATATAACAATAATGTGTTAGTTAATTCAAGTAACTCAACAAAATAACAAATACTTTTTCTATGCAAGGGTAAAGTTAGAAACCTATTTGTTTTCATAGTCCTTAAACATGTGGGGGGGGGGGGGGTTTGATCCGGCACATAGATGTAAAAGTTACTAAAAGGCACATAAATATTATCCTGGTAACCATGGCTAATCATGTAGGTCTACTTTTGTTTCAAGCTCTGTATTAACACAAAACCATGCAATAACTAAGTTAAATCATGCAGTAAAAGGACAATTCATATCTCGGTTGAACATCAAGCTAAATGTAAATAAAATATAACCAACTCTTGCTAAAATGAGACGCATAACATAAGCCAGATAGAACTCGAAAATATGTAAAGAAAAAGTTCCTAGCATATTCATCTTCAAAAATGACCATATTTTCATTTATTTATTTAAAAACTAACTTCAATATAAGCATGGTTTTGTTTTGATTAGTTGAGCCATGTGTCTTTATTAGCTTGAGTTGGTAATATAGACTGAATGAAACTGGTTGTTTATTTTACAAGTCAGTAAACTGAATGATGAAAACACTTCAAACTGAACAGAAAAAAAACAAATGCCAAATCAGTTTAACTTTTAGTACTTCAGTATGTTGATAGATAACTGCATGTGTACAGGTCTTTCTGGGGGGGTGGATGACTTCAAAACTTCAAATTGTGGAGATTTTGAGGACTACATGTACAACTAAGCATTTTTGATAGAAAGTTTTAAAACTTCCACTTGATTCAAACTAGGTCATTTCGGGACTAACATATGGTTCCATTTTTTTTCATTAAATCGCTTCTGTGTAGAGTTCTTTAGCTGTGGAGGAAACCAGGAAATATTTAGTCAAATTATAACAGATGTTACTGAAGAACTAAAAGTCAAACTGGTATGGCAGGAATATCTAAAATATTCCAACACTATAATAATTATACTTACGATGATTATTTTTATGTCCTTGACTTAATGGTGTTGATCTGCTATCACTACTATCGTGTCTCTGTCGTATCCGAGACGGATCGACCATAGAATATGGATATGTACTGTTTTTCCGAACGTCTAAATAACTATCCCGTTCTTTATAGTATGTTTCTGAAGAAGAGTTATTCCGCTGATAAACATTGCTTCCGTGAGAGGACACTATATTACTACTACTACTACTACTTTCATCTTTATGGCGGTCCACATAATTATCAGATTTATACGAGTCTGAGTTTCCACTGGTTCGAGTTTTATCGTATCTATCCACAGAACTGGAATGTTTAGATCTATCGTCACTAGCTGTAAACATAAAAATATAACAATACATTAATCAATGAATGAAATGGAGTTTTATGGCATGTCAGCTTTAATTGCACCTTGACCCATTACCAAAAAAGAAGAAAATCGCTAAAAAAAATATATTTTGACATTAAGGCAGGGTAGGTTTAAATAAAATTTCACCAAAAATAATTCCTGATATTAAAATAAATAGGAAGTAGTCTCAATCATCAATATCCTGTTTCCTTATTTACCAAAATCTCATTCAAATATGTTTAAAAGGAAACACAATAAAGGCAGAGAAATTTCTAATAAGCAAAAGGCAAAACTACTTTACCGTTATATGTTTCATATATTAAACGGTTTATGAGATAAGCCCCAGAAACAAAACGGAGATGGAAGTAAAAAAACGGATAAAGCCCATTTCACTATTCCTCCCTTAACATGGATGCAGAATAATTAAACCAATAAATAAATCTGGGCTTACATCTTGTTGAGTAATATTGTTTACTTGAACTTCTTCCATCTTTTGATCTCGAGCTATCTGGAGTTTTTGGACTACAAATAAATAACCACATATATATAATAATATTCAATCACCACATGTTATAAAAGTTTCTTCCTGACTCCTCTCTAATTCTAAATATGGTTTAACCATCTTAACATTTAGACTAAAGCTTCCAAACCCTCCTAACTAGGGCTCCTTAGACTGCTCAAAGCCGGCCTGTCACAACATGCAAAGCTGTGGCACATGCATGAACTAGTAAAGGAGAAGAGAGAGAAATGGGGTTTAACGTCCACTCGACACAGACTAGGCCATTTCGGGACTAACATTGTTAAATTTTATTTCAATAATTCGCTTGCGCATAGGGGTCTTTAGCAGGGGAAGGAAACCGGAGGACCCGGAGAAAACCCACGAGGTTGGACAGGTGACCCTACTCCTTGCCACGTACAACCGGGGAATTGAAACCCCGCCAGTTGACTCAAAGACAGACCGTATGATAAAGTGCGCGCATGCTAACCATTCGGCCATCCAACCCCCGTCCTAACTAGGGCTCCTTAGACTTTTCAAAGCCGGCCTGTCACAACATGCACAGCTGTGGCACATGCTGAACTAGTAAATGGTCCTATAATATGGAAAGTTATTCAAATATCTCAGACAGTTTGAAACGGTCAAGGAACAGTAGTTTCATACTGTTTCCATTCAAGGAACTGGAGTAGTTATTATCATGAGCCAAAGGCTTAATAAAATATTTACACTTTGTGAAAAATAAACCTTAAAGGTATGTTGAAGGTAAAATGATATTATTCAATAATCTGATTTATTTTCTTGTCAAGAGTAATTACGGATCTAATCAACATTTTGCCGTTGTTTAAAGAAGAAATAAGACTGACCTATCAATCCATTCTTTTGGTTTTTCCCACTGGGATACTTCTGTTTTACAGTTATAATAATAACCTTTACCAGATGAACTAATATGTTCAGACCAATCACCAAATACTCGTACTGCTGTCTTCTGTACCTATGTAAGTTATAAAATAACCAAATTACTATCAATTGTAATATAAAGAACAGGAGAGGGAAAGGTAACTCTCCCTTAAAAGAGTAGCAGAGGCTGGATATCTGTGTAGCTGCTCGATCAAACGATGACACATGTGGAGAGAGTAGACAAAACAGATTTTAAAAATTCTCACTCCACAGCAGTACAAAAACTGAGTTTACATAGATAGGTGGTTTATTGATTATAAAGTTTCAGGTTAATAAACACCCTTTAGCAAATGATCTTAAACATAAATTACTGTAATATTTGATTTAGGTGCCAGAGGCCTTATTAACAAATATTTAATTGAAGATCTTTTTAAAAGGCAATCTGTCTTTTTATTGGCTAAGAGATGAATTTGTACCAAGATTTTAACTTTCAGCCAATGAAAAAGCTAAATATCTAAATTATTTTTTTTTGTTTGAGTTTTTGTGAATAAGATCCCAGATCCCAGAAATTATGTCATAATAAAACATTTTCTCTTTAAAGCCCCAACATGCAAGAATAATACATGCAGTAAGACGTTTCTTGCACAATTAAAAGAACTTCGATGTTATCCCAATTTAAAGTTTACGTTAGCTTCTACTGATTTTACACATCATTTTTGTAATGGAGGAATTTTCTAATACTTGTATACATATGTACGTACATATGTACGCGTTTACTTTAAAATGGTAGTAAATTTTTTTGAATTTTGAGATATATCTGAATGATCTGACAATACACCAATTCAAGGATATATACAATTTATCATGGATAAATATATACCTCAGATCTGTGATCTTTTTCTTTTGGTTCTTTAGATTCTGATCTGATGGGTTCGCGGCTAGACTGACTGATTGGTTCACGGCTAGACTGACTGACTGGTTCACGGCTTGACACATTGATGGGTTCACGGCTAGATTGACCGGGTTCCCGACTGTAACTGCTGGACATAGATTTACTCGGTGGAGGTCGGTTATGGTGATAGGAGCCATTCCCGCTACGGATACTCGCGGCAACAGACATAAGTGAATTTCCTTTCTTTTCGTATGGTCCTAAAATTAAAATACATATACATACATACAAATGATACAAAAGCACCAAAACGAGCTGGACTCTCAGGTTAACTTTAATAAAAAAAAAAAGGAGAGAGGAGAAATGGGGTTTAACATCCACTCGACACAAACTAGGCCATAATGGGACTAACATATGATTCAATTTCAATTCAATAATTTGCTTGAGCATATGGGTCTTTAGCAGTGGGAGGACACCAGAGGAGAAGAAAAGTTTGAGGTTGGACAGGCGGCCCTACTTCTTGTCATGTACAAGCAGGGAATTGAAACCGCTCCCCTGGACTCAATGACAGACCTTATGATCTAAAGCATACCCTGCCTCCCAGGAGAAAATATACGGAAAGTTGACATTTCATCTCTCAGTATGTTTTAACATATTTTACTACCATTACATTGTATCATAAACCAAACTAAAAATTAGACAATTTACTGAATTTTTTGATTGTCAGAGAAAATGGCACTTCTTTTACATTGTTACAAGGTGACAACTCTCAACATATTCTGATTGGTTGCCGTTAGTTTGAGATTCAGGGATAGGTTAATCTGTCTTACTGACAATGGTACTAGTAGTAACATTTGGCCTTGTTCCAAACCTGATCCTGAAAATTGAGTGATAGTCGACATTTAAGACAATTCTTACCTTTACTTCTCTTCTCCTTATGCCTATCATTATATGAAGACTTGTTGTAATATCGGGGACTGTGACGGCTGTCAGGGCTGTCATTACGTAGTCGATCCGATGATGAATCTTGGTCATATCTATCGTATGATCGTCCATAACTTTTTGATTGGTACTGCATGTTCTGTAATTAAAAAATAAAATACTTATATCAATAAGTTGTTTACTGAACAGAGAAATGTGGGTCGACATAAACTAGGTCATTTCCAGACTTACATTTGGTTCAATTTTATTTCAATAATTCACTTGCACGTAGGGCTCTTTAACAGTGGGAGGAAACCGGAGAACCCTGAGAAAACCCAGGACAGACGAGCCTACCCCTTGTCAAGTACAACCGGGAAAACTAAACCATGCCAATTCACTCAATCATTATAATTATGATTATGATTCAACGCGAACGTACTAACCATTCGGCCATCCAATCCCTCAGTTTACTGAACAAAATGAATAATTAAATTGATGAGTTTAAATGTGACCTTTATGTATCACCAGTCACAATAATTTCAATAAGTTTATACATTTTTTTCTTCCTGTTATAAGTGAACACATGTATGTACATGTATCAGTGGTATTATACAACATAATATAATTAAATGAGTTAAACCCACAAGGGTTATGGTCACGTAATAATATGGAAAACAATTTTGTCTGGACAGTGGAATTTCTGCCTATTTTATAAAATGATATACGAAACTAGAAACTACTGGATACAATAAAATATAATACATGTATAACTCACTGGTAATACAACACGATGCATGGCAATGCTTCGTACCCGGTCATGATACAATATAATTTATTCATTTTAGTAGGGTAAGCATCAAAGATTATGATTACATGATTACACAAAATATAAACGTGGTCTGGGTCGAAAGTCAGGCTTATTTCCAGATGTTTTTATTTGAAGTACATAGAACATGTTAAAAGTAAAATTTTAGATTTAAAATATCAGGAAACAAAAAAAGCACCCAAAACAATTCAAGGCTTGATTGATCACTTCCATTGAATTTTTGACTAGTAAAATTCTCACTTGATGGGACCACTAGCTGTTTCATCATATGTAAACATGGGGCTGAAGGAAGACATGAATATCCAATAAACAACCTTGTTTATATAATTAAATAGACACTAGACACCATACATGTACATGTTTAGTATGTAATTTGAGAGAGAGAGAGGGAGATAGAGAGGGAGATAGAGAGGGTTCTTTAGCAGTGGGAGAAACCAGAGAAACTGGAGAAAACCTATGAACAAATGGGGTTTAACATCCTACTGTTCTGCACCGAATGGCCTGATGATGAGCATAGGTATACACCATGACACCCCGTAAATGACAATTGAAAAGTTCAGTTAGAGAGAGGGAGTTAAACATCCACTCAACACAAACTAGGTAATTTTCGGGACTAATGTATTGTTCAATTCTAATTCAATAATTAGTTTGTGCTTAGGGGTCTTTAGCAGTGGGAGAAAACCAGAGGACCTGGAGAAAACCCACAAGGTTGGACAGGCACCCTACTCTTTGTCACGTACCACTAGGGAATCGAAACCACGCAGTTGACTCAATGACAGATCTTGCGATACAACGCTCACAGGCTAACTATTCGGCCATCCAAATCCCCTACGTACATTTGGATTAACATAGTACAATTTGCTGGCACGTAAATTCTTTGGCAGCAGGAGGAAATCGGAGGGCCCAAAAGGAAACACACGAGGTGAGGTATGCGACAATACTCCTGATCACTTTCAAGTGTGGGATCAAAACCAAAGCACTTGACTCAATGACAGACCTTATGATCTATAGCAGTTAGCACACAGTGAGAGGTATGGCCAGCCTACAGCATGGTGCAGTGGATGATTAGATTAAGTGCAGCATTGCATCCCTGTGATAATAATAAAGAAAGGCTGCAATTCAACTCATTATTTTTAACAAATTTATTTTTTCGTGCATGTGCATTCTTTTTAGCTAATCAAAGATGGACTTTTGTTATGCAATTGTCTCGTTTATAAACATATTTTTACAAGAGATGTATAACAAAGTTGGTAAAATCTTTGACAAAGGAGCCGAGCAATACAATAAATTTGGCAGAATCCCAAACATGCCAGAATAAAAATCAAATATCAAGTCTCAGACCATACTCAATCACAGCTAATATTATTGAAAATTTCCTGGTCCAAAAATTACTTAAATTGATCATATTTTAATTTCTAATTCAATAAACTGTCATAAATTTATGTTTAAATTAGTGAAATGGGGTTTAATGACCAAAAGGGCAAATGAAGACAGTTACATGTAATTTGTGACAAAGAAATACAATTCTGTGGTATTTCTTCATGAAATTTATTCATATTTAGATGCAATTAATTTTAATTACATAATATTAAGTCTTTATTTTAGATATTTATACATACTCAGCTGTAGTGTGGTCAATTATATAAATGTATAAGTCTTTATATAAAAATAGTAGATATTTTTGACAGATGATAACATGTGAATGATGGCTACTACAGTAGTGACATCTGAATACAGTGAGGTCACAGTGACCTACAAGTACATCTATATTACAATCAATAAATTCTGCCAAGTAATCACATTCTACAACTAAGGCTGGGTTTATGGCGGGGGCTTTACAATCCAAAGCAACTAGTTGCTGTCAGTTACTGTACAATTGTGCTTATGTCGATCATATCAGCAACTGAGAGCCACTGAATTCCAAGCGCTTATGTTGACTCTGAACTGATAGCGATTACACTTAACATGAGATTGTTAATTTATTCACCACATCATCAACAAAATGGCGAATAACTTAGAAAAAGCACCCCAAAGGCATGGCCATTTTGCCACAATTCTATTAATATATTATTGTCGACATCATCAACATTGGAAAAGTTGCTGTCTTCGTTCGCTTCCATGCGCTTATTTATAAAGTCACATGACAGATTTCTCTTATCATGTGATATTATTTCCATGGAAATGAGTTGTAAGACCGTTCATGTTGATTGCAACTAGCTGCTGATATTTGTAGAAAGTTGAACATGTGCAACTGACAGCAACTGCAACTAGTTGGTTTGAGTTGTAAGAGGCACTCAGGTCAACCTTTTTCAGTTGCATTCAGTTCCTCTCAGTTTCTGAAATGCCAGTTGCTTTCAGTTGCAAGGTCGACATAAACCCCCTTTATCCTGTCTTCTATTAATTATAACAAGCCAACAGTGAGGCTGATGTCCCCCGCCGAAATTGCAAAATAAATAGATGACACATATTAATTAATCGCACATTTATTTTTTTCACTAAGTTTCATCACTCTCTATCAGATAGAATCAAGATTATCTTGTCCCAAACCATCGACAAATGAAATCGATTAGCTCTGCTTAGCTTCAGCTCGAAATGTTAATTATTGAACTCAGTCAAGACATTCACCTAATGAACATCTACATATACATCAAGTTTAAACATTCACCTAATAGACACCTATGCCAAGTTTGAACATTCTACCTCAATTAGAAGGAGAGTTATTGTGTTCCAAAGTTTCTACCAATCAAATTGCTTATCACTCTGCTTACCCTCAGCAAAAAATGTTCATTATCGAACTTAGTTAAGGTATTCATATAATAAATCTATACACCAAGTTTCATCAATCTCACTTAATTAGAACTAAAGTTATCGTGTCCCAAAGCATCAACCAATCAAATTGCTTATCTCTGCTTACCCTAAGCGGAAAATGCTCATCTTCGAACTCCATCAAGGCATTGACCTAATCAACACATACACCAAGTTTGAACATTCTAGCTCAATTAGGAAGAGAGTTATCGTGCCCCAAAGTATCAACCAATCAAATTGCTTATCTCTGCTTACCCTAAGCGGAAAATGCTCATCTTCGAACTCCATCAAGGCATTGACCTAATAAACACATACACCAAGTTTGAACATTCTAGCTCAATTAAAAGTTATCGTGTCCCAAAGCATCAACCAATCAAATTGCTTATCTCTGCTTACCCTAAGCGGAAAATGCTCATCTTCGAACTCCATCAAGGCATTGACCTAATCAACACATACACCAAGTTTGAACATTCTAGCCCAATTAGGAAGAGAGTTATCGTGTCCCAAAGCATCAACCAATCAAATTGCTTATCTCTGCTTACCCTAAGCGGAAAATGCTCATCTTCGAACTCCATCAAGGCATTGACCTAATAAACACATACACCAAGTTTGAACATTCTAGCTCAATTAGGAAGAGAGTTATTGTGTCCCAAAAAGTGTGACGGACAGACAGACGGACGGACAGACAGACGGACAGACAGACAGACGGACGAACCCATTTTAATAGTCCCCTGCTTTCTTCGAAAGGCGGGGGACAACAAAAATTTACAGACTATATAATCTAAATCACACATGTTAAGCAAAATTAAATAAAATGGGGTTTAACGTCCTACTATTTAGCTCCGACTGGGCTAAAGAAGACGGGGCACCTGCACCTCTGGCAAGGGGAAACCGTGCCTGAATATCCAGATGAACTTTCTCGGCCAATGCAGGGATCTAACACGAGACCACCAGACTAGCGAGCCAGCACCTTACCCACTTAACCACCGTGGCTCCCACACATGTTAAGAGCATTCGTTAAGAAATTCTAAGGTGGCTGAATTTGATTTGGGTTTTTTTAATTTACTGTCACCAGGGGAAGCAAATTTATTGCAAACTGAGTATACATTTTGTAGCAGGCCACACAATTTCGCACGAAGTTGAACAATACCAATAGTAACTGCCTAATATGACTGCTACCACGAATAATTTCCTTTAAATACCTTTTGTGATTCAACGCTGCCAATAGTGGGATTTATATGAATTGAATGTAATTTACAATAAAAATTAAAATATACATGTCACACTCAATAACATTGCCCATGTTTGTGTATTCTACTGTGAACTCAAGGTAAGATATCAAAATGGAGACCAGCATTCTGTTTTGACGAACAACAATAACACATACATCTAAAACACGTCTAACTATTAAATGTAACTATTTATCGCTATCGGTATTTGTGTTGGCTGATAGTTTTACTACAAGTACATGTATCGGAAATATGAAATTGATTTGAACGTCATACTTTTCTGCACTGAAATGGTTTATTTGCCCCATCTTTTCAGAGATGACAAAGTTAAAAGCAAGGTTACTGATCACCAGATCAAATCCAATGAAATTGACAGTTTTATTTCAGACCAGAATGAAAGATGTCTAGTCATTTTATTTGTCAAATTTAAGAAGAATACCAGGGTTTAGTTTGTATACTACAATACTAGTCATTATTCTATACTAGATGTCATGTACATGATGTCCAAACCAAGTGGGGAAAATGCATCGACTCCCAACTTCTTAAAAGTGACAGGTCTTATGATCTATAGGTATTTGAGACTAAATTATATTTACTAATTTCTATTTGTCTCAGTGGCACTTACTCACAAAGTACAGCACTGTCAGTATTTTTCATTGTCAATGTTGAGGTACATGTAATTATAATGAAGGTGTCAGCATTAATCCTATCAATATAATCATAACAGCATAGTCAGCCATAAATTAATATCAGTATCAATAACAGCATTGTCAGCACGTTTTGTATCAATGTACATGTAATCATAACAGCATTGTCAGCGATTTTCATATCAATGTTCATGTAATTATAACTGCATTGTCAGCAGTTTTCATATCAATGTTCATGTAATTAGAACAGCATTGTCAGCATTTTTCCTACCACAGATAAAAGTAATTAGAACAGCATTGTCAGCATTTTTTCTACCAATGTCGAAGTAATTATAACAGCATTCAGAGTTTTTCCTGTAGTAATTATAACTACATTGTCAACACCTATCGTATCATTATACATGAAAATATAGTATAATTTAGTGTTCATTTACCTTTTCAGAAGCCAAGTCATTATCGTACATGTACATGTAGTTGTAAATGATGTTGCTTAACAGATCTTTAGTCAAACAAACCTGTATTTGTTCGAATGTGTCCCAAATATGACAAAATCTACATGTACATGTAGCAAGTTTAAATGATAAAAGTTATAATTATCCAGAATGAAAAATATATTTTTGTCAAAATCCCACAAGTGGAAATCATCCAATTAACTGGATAAACAAACATTAGAACTTTATTTCTAAATCGAGGTTGAGTGGTATTACATGTGTACTTAAGATCATAAGGTCTGTCATTGAGTCAACAAGTTGAGTGGTTTTGATACCAAGTTTGTCTGTGACAAGGAGTATGATCGCATGCCCAACCTTGTGGGTTTTCTTCAGCTTCTCTGCTTTTCTCCCACTGCTAAAGGTCCACTAACATATACATGTATGCTAGTTGGTCCTGAAATTCTCTCTAAAACGTTAAAACCCCTGGATCAGAATGTCTCAAAGTTTTATCTATGTAAGTTGAGAAAGTTTTCAGAATTTTCCAAGCCATTTCTACTTGTCAGGGTGGCATACATCTATGCAGGCTGACAAGAAAGTGATCCTAGTGATTTACAATTTTAGACTGGGCAAAAAAACCAGGGTCCATCCATGAAAATATGGCACACGCATGAAAGAAAACTTTTAAGTTGTAATTTGAAAATGAGATGTCAATGCTGCAGTACATGGACATGCAAACTTCTACATCGCATTGTACACATACACACAAGTCAATAAAAAATGAAAGCACATCAGCATTAGAATGAGCAACATGTAGGCCTACATGTAAGCAGTCCCCTACATGCTGCATTTGCCAGCTATTATGGAAATGTTTCCTGTGAATTCCAAAGTCACACAGAGGTAGCAATAAATTTTACAACAATATCATTAACCGGCTAACCGCCCGAGAGATTTTTGTAACACAAGTATCCTTACGGGAAGTCAGGTACCATCAAGAGTTTTTTCAGTCTATCGGTTAAGCTTACTCTTCTATATGTACAGAAGGCTATCTCGAGTACTTGTCTGTAGATATTACAGCAGACAACCTCTTCAGCAAAATTAACATCACTAGTCAATGAAACACCTTACAATAGTACAGAGACACACCAACTGACAATATTTGGAAGGCTCTGGACCATGGGTAGCTAGAATAGTAATTATATGTTACAAATCATTGTTATTCCAAGATAGGCTACATGTATGTATCAAGAACATGTACGGTGTGTCAACTCCTGAATTCTTCACACGTCACACACAGGCGTGATCAAAATGTATAATAAGTATATCAAAATCCTTGAATATGGTGATGTAAATTTTGTTCAACAAATTAAGAAGACTTATTTATTATAGAACCTAGCCTATGTAGTTTTCCCCAGAAAAGAAATGAAATTTAATATCCTACTTTTCTTCTTTATCCAGGCTAATGAAGATTGAAGACAGAGTTTACCTCAGTCCAATCATATTCTCTTCATTGCCTGAGTAGGAGATGATTATCAATTGACACCCATATAGATTATCAACTTAATCTGTTTACTGGTAACTTAAAAAGGTGACAGACCTAAATGTTTACCAAGTAACATATTTTACAAATATGTTTCCAATCTCAAAATTGGTACACATTTGTTAATACCTCAAGATACAAATTATTTTAATATTATCACGGCAAAATCATGAAAATGACATAGAAATGAAATCATTTTATTGCCAACTCTAGAATTTAAATCGGTAGCCATGAAGATAGAATGGAGTTATTGGAAGTGATATATTTAATTCCAATTCCAACATTTTCTTCGTGACAGCTTTAAAAAGGTGATATTTCAACAGATTGTTGTTGAAATTTCATCAAATTGCTGAGATGGCTTTTGTTTGTTTTGGTTTTTATGTTGAAATCAAAGTTGATGAGACATGCCCCTCCCAAGTGGAACCATGTCTCTGACCATATTAATTACCTGATGCAGATGGGGGACATCTTTTCTGTCAGCATACCTGAAACACAAAATGGAGAAGGTTATTAACTTCTGACCGGTCAGCTTGTCAAATTAATTGAGAAATTTCAGGGGATTTCCTCAAAATTTTGACAACAAAGATGGCGGATGAGAAAATTGAACTGACAAGCGGTACATTTCATGATAATTGTCAAGAGATCTTTACCCATCATTGAGCCTTGATTGTTTCCTTGCATGCATTACCATTAATGCTTATAAAATATAGTGGTTATGCGATGCAAAGGAAGCATAAAACAGGGATATTTAGCTTGTTTGTGGCCCTTTACGCGTCTGCATTAGACTTGTTTGACGCCATTTTACATCCGGGTAATTCCGCAAATTTCCATGTAAATTTAGTAATTTGGATATATTTTTTATGTTTGTGTATATCAAAGCCAATTATTTTAATTTTAATAGTCTACTGAACTATTCTAACAAAATTTTGAATTTTTTAAAACCATATTTCTATCACGTGATTTCAATTATAGGTCAAGGACGATGTTAATTTTGTTCAATTCAGCACACCTTGTCGTTTCTTAGTGGAGTTCAAAGAGTAGGTACTTCCTGCCTTTTTGGTAGACTAAAAGATTACTTCCAAGTTGTATTTTCTCTCAATAGAATATAAGATTTTAATCTGTTTTCCGTTTTGTGTTATTTGAATACGAACAGAATGACAATGTAGTTTCCTGCTCGTCTGTAGCCATAACTATCATTATTATACGTGTTAGATCTACGTCGTATACGTGTCGTTTATGATCTATATGATGATGATGATTATTATGAGTATGACTGATCGAGCAGACCATCACTTTCATCCAGATACAATGTACTCCATATGCGTAGCCTTAAACTGAGTTAAAGAAGCTGAGTAACTGTCAGACATCAGATTTTATTATGGACTTTAAAATAAATTATAATGTCCATGATTTTTTTGATAAATTTTTAGCAAACATTGGCCATTGGGTTTTATTTTTATAGTATTAATGTGATTCCAGAATAGTTAAGTTGGCAAAGTTCACTTACACTTATTCTATATCTGGAAATATTGATCAGGTCTGCTGACTTGTTCTCGTCTTAAAGGCTCAATACAACTCTTGGTGTAACTGAATAATATGTAGGGTGACCCACCATAAATAAATATCTCCATATATCTCGACAATTACGCCACAATATTTATATATATGCCAAGCCTCAAATCAGTTTCACACAATTATAGTCACTAAATAAACGATCATGTTGTACTTAATAAGCTATGACCATTAATCATGTATAAATAATAGACTGAAAACTGGTTCCAAGAGTCGTCCATAACATCCAGACACTTTTGAGTAAAAGATAGGTTACGTGCCCTTGTTTTGTAATTAGTCTCGCTTAACCAGTCTATCGACCATTCTACGTCTGATTGACAGGTCGGGATAATCAAGACTACTTTTTTACGAAACATAACAGAAAGCTAGAACAAGAAATTGAATTTAGAAATAAGCACGTTAGGTAGCTCAACAATCGTTTTAAGAAGCTTGTAAAAGTAAAATGAAACTACTGCTAGTATCATGTTCCTGTCTAACCCGAGTGATTCAGAGATATTATTTGTACTAAACCAAAAGATGCCGCTCTTAACGGTACAGTTAATGATAAAGCGATTTAAAAAATGAAACGAACGTAATTTCTAAATCTGCTGTAATAACCAAGAAGCTTAATTTAACTGCTATTCAAAATCGTCAACAATAAATTTTTTACGGCTGTAATAGTTGATAGATTTGTAGAGAACTGCACGTGCCATGGCTATTTATAGTATCATACTGTCAGAAAGTTGGTCTCGGCACGGCGAATGTGCACGCTTCAGTGGTAGTCTCGAACTATCAGCGGTGGACTGTATTTCTGTGAGTACATGGGTCACCCTATAATATGTCCCAATCTTTATTCTGGTCAACAAATTGTACTATTTTACAATATTCCAATTAATTGGTGATATGAATTTCATCTTAACACACCTAATTTAAAAAATTGGAAAAATTGAACTAAATGATTTGAAAATATATAAGCAAAGATGCAGCTTGAGTCTCCGACAGAACTTCTTCACATTTAGAGTTGTGGATAGGTGGAACACCCTGCGATCATCAGTGGTTGACTCCCCATCACTACAGACCTTCAAAAACAGACTTGATTTGCATGGCAGACAACAAATTTGCTGCGAAACTGGAGTTGTGAGCTTGCCACCCACACTACTCCGCCCACCTTGATGCAAAGTCACTTTGATAAGTGTAGTCGAAGAAATCGGCTTAAGTTGAAAAGTGCTTCAATCAGGAGAAAGGGCTCTAGGCCTACTAAATCCTGAACTTGATATGATATATGATCATATCCTTAGGAGATATTGCTTAACATGAATTTGATTAGTCAATCAAAAAGGAACTACTTTTTATACGTCCAAATTGAAATGTGGTCGTATATATTGTCGTCGACCCCTTCCGTCCATCCGTCCGTCGGTCAGTCTAGAGGCTAAAGTTAATATCCGATTGACTTTGAATTTATACACAGTGTTTAAGGCCATGGGACGAAGAATCCTATTGATTTTCAGTGATACCCGATAATTACTGCCCGAGTTATGGCCCTTGATCACTTTGAAAAATCTTGTAGACGCTCTAGAGGCTAAAGTTAATATCCGATTGACTTTAAATTTATACACAGTGTTTGGGGTCATGAGGCGAAGAGGCCTATTGATTTTCAGCGATTTCCGATAATTACTGCCAGAGTTATGGCCCTTGATGACGCTCTTGAGGCTAAAGTTATCATCCGATTGACTTCAGAATGATACACAGATTTTAAGATCTTGAGACGAACAAGTATATTGATTTTCAATGAATTTTTATGACTTGAACAGCTAAATCCATGATATTAAAAGTTTCGTATACTGAACGTTAGCATGTTGCAGAACAAATTCTAATGGTTTTCTGATAATTATTTCATGAGTTGTTACTCTTAATCGGATTTTAGTGTATTATAAATGTTTCATTACCGAAAAAAGTAAAAATATGCGAGAACACTTGTTGACTGCCCGGATGATTTAGCTGCTGTGGGCGTATATTTCGTTGCCTGGCAACCTATCTTTTTGTCTGTAAATACTCCACAGGTTGCTATAACAGATTTTGTTCAAATTCAGCATATGAGTCATTTCAGTATCAGGATGTACCTATTTAGATTGTTCCAAATCCAACCCCCGGGGGGCAGAGCCACGCCCAATTTTTGTATTTATAATCTACAGACTGGAATTCTGAATGGATCATCTAGGAACTTTGCATATTTATACCTTATACTGTGGTTTCAAATCCCCGGTTGTAGGTGACAAGGAGTAGTGTCACCTGTCCAACCTCGTGGGTTTTCTACGGGTCCATCGGTTTCCTCCCACTGCTAAAAAAGAACTTTACGTGCAAGCGAATTATTGAAATAAAATTAAGCCATAAATGTTAGTCCCAAAATGACCTATATTTGTAGTTTGTGTTGAGTGGATGTTAAATCCCATTTCTCTCTCTCTCCTTATACTGTTAAGACAGCAACTATTTATTTTGGTGCACGCCCTACCCCTTGGGTCCGTGTCACACCCACTTTTTTATAAGCCCACATTTTCATGTGGACGTATTATGCCGTCGCCCCTGTTTGTCCGTCCGTTCATCCACAATTAGTTTGTGCACACTATACAGATTACAATTTTTATCGATTTCAACGAAACTTGAACTATAGGTTTATCTCCCTAAGATCTCGGTTCCTTTCGATATTGGCATGTATCAGACCATAACTTCATGGATTATGGCCCCTGATTGTACGAAAAATCACGTTTTTTGCTTGTGGACACTCTAGAGGTCACTTATTATCCGATTTAAAAAAAACATTTGAATATATCACCGTTACACCATATTTTTGTCTGAGGCTGAGTTTCACAATAATTCTTTCTTTTTGTCGCCCTATCTTTCAAAGAAAGCAGGGGACTATTAAAATGGGTGTGTCCGTCTGTCCCTCATGCTTTTTGGGACAAAATATCTCTTCTTCTAATTGAGCTAGAATGTTCAAACTTGGTGTGGTTGTTTATTGGGCCAATGCCTTGAAGATGATCATTTTCTGCTTAGGGTAAGCAGACAACTTTTAAAGGACAATATTGGTGCCAGTCATTATCACATATGTGATACAGCTGGTTAAACACATTCCAAATATAATTTTAACACCGAGATCATTGCTACGATATCAGAGTAATACAGGTTTCCCGAATAGGAAGTGACAAACGCCAAAGGAAAACACGAGTCATCTCTCTAAGTAACTGACTGATGTGACGAGTTATAACAGATACATGGCCGAATTTCTGCTCAGGAATAATTCCTTCGAAGACCAAAAGTTGTTATATGGGACTGTAAGAGGATACCTGACAATTCAATAAAGTAATGGAATGTCATTAGATTAGAGAACACCAGAAAAATAGAAATAGTCCGTACATTTCCTTGTTTATATTCATTCTATACCTTATAAAAACATGGTAATGCACAGACTTTTTCTTTTTTTCTTTCGTGTTCTCTTATCTAGTGGCAGTCAATTCTTTTTATGAATTATCAGATATCCTCTCACAGTCTCACACAACAGCTTTTGGTCTTCGAGAGAATTATTAGTGAGCAGAAACTCGCCCGTATATCCGTTAGCACTCGTCACATCAGTCAGTTATATAGAGAGATGACTCGTGTTTTCCTTTGGCGTTCGTCACTTCCTTTTCGGGAAACCTGTATTGCTCAGCTATCGTAGCAATGATCTCCGTGTTAAAATTATTAACACCTCTGCTTTTAAGTGAGGTAGAATGTTTAAACTTGATGTAGATGTTCATTAGGTGAATGCCTTGAATTCAATGATTAACATTTCCTGCTAAAGCTTAGCAGAGATAAGCAATTGCATTGGTCAGTGCTTTGGAACAAGATAACTTTGATTCTAACTCATGGAGAGTGATGAAACTTAGTGTATATAGTTTCACTACCAGATATTTCAAAGCTTGATTGTTTGATCTTGAACATTTTATGCTTAAACTAAGTATAGTTTGATTGCTGGACACTTTCAAAAAAGATAAATGCAATTAATTAATATGTGTCATCTATTTATTTTGGGAATTCGACAGGGGACATCAGCCTCACTTTTGGCTTGTTTGGCTTATTTTCTGTCCATCTCTTGCAAAATATGGTCATGTCTTGCATGTCGACCGGGTGTTGAATAGTTTGATCATCCAATGGCTTGTCAATAATAACTTGTAAATCAGTGACACACTAACGATGACACGTCTAGACAATCTGTCTG